CACTGTGCAGGGTCAGAGGGAGAGCACTGTACCATACAGACACTGTGCAGAGTCAGAGGGAGAGCACTTTACCGTGCAGACACTGGACAGGGTCAGAGGGAGAGCACTGTACCGTACAGACACTGGGCAGGGTCAGAGGTAGAGCACTACCGTGCAGACACTGGGCAGGGTCACAGAGACAGCACTGTACCACACAGACTTTGTTTAAGATCACAGGGACGGCACAGACCACAGCAGAAACTAAGCCTCTAACACATGGTTCGTCTCCACATATCCATAACTGAACCAAATTTGTACATTTTCACTTAATGTGTGTATCCTCACTTTCTGAACAATTAACAGATATCTGTGGTCCATGATACAGAAAAATGGGCACATTTGTAGTGGTAAGATAATAATTGCTTCTTTCTTCCTGGCAGGATGCCTTGGCAAGGGGATGCCAACAACATGATTGACAGGTTTGACGTGCGAGCCCACCTGGACTACATTCCCACCTACACCCCTCCGCTCCTCAGCACAGTGTAAGTACTGGCACGGCCACCAGGGGGCGCCCTGAGACCTTTTGTTTTTCCTTATGGTCCTTGTAGGACAGTGAGGGCCTGTTCCCTATCCTCCAGGCTCTGACTGTGCCCTGTGCTTTTCCAGAACGCCGGAGCAGGAGTCAGACGAGAGGAAGTGCAACTATGAGCGATACAGGGGACTGGTGCAGAACGACTTTGCCAACAGTGAGTGAAGAAATATATCTTACGTTCCTTTGCCAAAGAAGGCAGCCCAGCTGTTTTTGTGTTCTATTCCATAGTAGCAGCTATCCATGTGTCCACTGTAGGAAACCTTCTCAGGATCATGGTGAGGGTGGTGCTGAGATCACATGGCTATTTATCAAGGCAGGTGAAGGGTTCATGGAGCAATAGATGTGTCCAAGGTTGTAACAAACACTGCCTCTGACCCAGATGCGGCCCCAAAGCACTAAGATAAGATGCTTTGTGAGAGTTCGTTAGGGGGAAAGGAACGACCTTTTGTGTGCAACACAAGAAGGAAAGCTGGTTAACTGTGGCTTCAGTCGTATCCGTATGAAACGTTAAGGGTAAGGCTTAGTGACGCACATGAGGCAGAGGCTGGTGGTTTCCACTGTCCAGTCCTGGCCGCAGCCAGAATTATTCTGCACCCTGTACCGGTGACTGAGTCTCCGGCTTGGCCTGGTCTTTTCCCGCAGTCTCGGAGGAGCAGTGCCTGTACCAGATCTACGTGGACGAGCTGTACGGGGGCCTGCAGAAGCCCAACGAGGAGGAGAAGAAGAAGTGAGTGGCGCTGCCCGGGGGGCCCTGGGTGCTGTGCTGCTGACAGATCTTTCCAGCTGGGGAGGGGGTTGCTGGAGACGACCGCTGCATCTTCAGTGTCTGCCTCCAGCTCAGCTCTCGGGCGCTGCAGCGAGGCTCAAAGCCACCCCAGTCATGCTGAGGAACCCAGGGTCTTTCTCTCTTGGCCACTGAAGCCAAGAGCAGAGGGTTCCCAGCTGTACCATTGAAGCCTGTACCCTGGCTTCTCTCAAGACGCGGTTTCAGTTGATCCCTGGATCAGTTACCTGCTGACTAGCCCATGTCCCAGTGCGCACTCTTGCAGTCTTGCACTCTTCATATGCACGTTCCTGCTCAGGTCTGCAAGGGCTCGGGGTTTTATAAAAACAAATTTTTATGAGACTACTTTAGATTCAACTGTATGAATTCTTGGTACAAAGTTTTGACATAAAGCTTTTATTTGGTTGCCTGATTTGGACCGATGAATATTAGTTTGTCTGTGGTGTATTTTGTACTCTGAATATTTAATAGTACACGTTTTTAAAGGTACAAAGCTCTGAGGTATTGCCAAGTTTACCTTATTTAGTTTACTTTGAATGAACACCTCCCCCCCACCCCCAGGCTGGCTGAGAAGAAGGCCACTATCGGCTACACGTATGAGGACAGCACTGTGACGGAGGGCGAGGGCCTGTCTGACCGGGGAGAGGACGAGGACTCCGAGAACAGCGACACCGACGAGGATGGGGTCATCCCTGACATCGGTGTGTGAATCCGGCTGGTCGGGCGACTTGCGTGTGGTTCCCGAGTCGAGTCGCTGACTTGCTTTTCCCGCTGGTTGTTCTGAGGGGCTGAGCTGGAGGAGAGTGATCGGTTGAGCTCAGATCCGTGTTTCTTAGCCAGCAGCTGCTCGGTTCAGTTCGGAGTCTTTGTTTCTTCAGTGTCTTCTTTTGGCTTTGGTCAAGATCTGTTTGAATCCTTTAAATTGGGGTTCCCTACTTCAGATCCCAGAGAGTCCTCAGGTAGACCTTTGGGCTTCTAAGATTGAATTGCCTCAGTTAACATTCTCTACAGATCTCGAGAGTTGTAGAGAGATCTGGAGAATCTGCTTGACTTCCAGCCCTGTTCCACCTCATTGGCAACCCCTGCGGTATTTGCAGTATTTCCTTGATACAGTGTCTCTGCCCGTGGCTGCTCCAGTCCTGGAGCAAGGACAGGAGGTTAAGGGCGTGGCTGCAGGACTCGGGAGGTGCAGGTGTTCACGGGTGTGTTCTTGTTCCAGATGTGGAGGTGGACGTGGACGAGCTGAATCAGGAGCAGGTGCTGGAGCTGAACAAGCTGGCCACGCCCTATGGCATGGCAGAGGGAGACTTTGTCAGGTCAGTGTTCCCTGTGCTGCCATCTGCTGGTGGGGTGTTGTCACAGCTGTTAGTGGCCTAGGTATTTTGAATTGAATTGAGTAAAGCTTTTGTGTTCTAGACCTTCTGCCTCTCATTATCCCGGCACCTCTGAAGCGTCTAGAGTCCCATGTGTGAGACATTCCTTTTGCCTTTTCTCCCCAGGATGCTGAGGAAGGACAAGGAAGAGGCAGAAGCCATCAAACATGCCAAAGCTTTGGAGGAAGAGAAGGCCATGTACTCGGTAGGAGCAATCCACTTCCGGGATTCAGGGGCCACCCCCTGACACGGGGCTCCCCAGCACACTCACACTCTCCTGAAAAGCCTCAGAGATTGCAGACTTGAAGGATGTCATGCAAACTAATCTCCTGGAAGATGACAGGATGACCGCTTGCCGCGGGCTGCCACGTGATCCAGCAGGCAGGGACACCTGTCGGTATCCACACAGCGACCGGATAAGAGCGTTCTGTTGCCGGAGAGAGACGTTGACGGTTTTCTGTATTCTGTGTTGCCTACTCCTGCGCCTTCACCCGCCTGGTGCTCTTGCAGTTGGGGTGCAGAGTGGCCCCAGAGCGCTCTTTCCCTCGCTGTGCGATCACGAGGAGGCGGGTGCGCGTGTGTAGCTCCCAGCTGACGATGCGTCTCGTCCTGGCAGGGCCGGCGCTCCCGGAGGCAGCGGAGGGAGTTCAGAGAGAAGAGGCTGAAGGGCAGGCAGATCAGCCCACCCAGGTAGCTACACCCCGGCACCAAGCTCTCACACCCAGAAATCGGGAGTCTGTATCCTGTAGCATGCCAACCCCAGGGAGTAGAAAGCAGGATGTGGCCGGGTCCCAGGAGGACCTGGACGAGCCATGGCTCGGTCTTGTCCTGTTCTTGCAGCAGGGCGGCGTCCCCTGCAGGTGGCTGTGAAGACCCGTCCCTGCGGTTTGTAATAGGGCTGGGGTCCGGGGATTGTTCTGGGCTTGGAAGTTGGCGGTAGTCTCTGCCTTGCTGATAAAATTTTGACTGGGAGTTCTGCATATTAGTGCATATACTAAAGACACAGATGAATAAAGGAACAAGTAATAGGTTTATTCCATGCTGAAAAGAGAAGAAAGCAAGCATGCCTCGCATCTGAAGAAGGCTCCACGGCCGAAACGTTGTGTTTTCTTTCTTCTCTTTTCACCATGGAATAAACCTCTTACTTGTTCCTTTGCAGCCTGCGCATGCTGACGCAGCTCCCCACCTGAACTACAGATGAATAAATATTTGATTGCTGATGCTGAACGCAGAATTACAAGATGGTGTTAATCCGACATTCAAGTCTTGCTTTGTGGGGGACTATTGATTGTGTTCCTTCGGGTGCTCGGGGGAGTCTGGTTTATGTGTCGTTTGTCCAGATGATCACTGCTGGGTCTGTTGGTTGTGAACCCCTGCTGATGGATGGGGGAAGAACCCATGCCTTTTCTTTGACAGATGATTGCAGCAGTGTCTTTCATGGAGTTATTTCACCTGAGAAGATTACTTTCTGAACCTGCGGCCCTGAATCTTTCATTTCACGAGGCATTTAATAATTCTCCTCGTGGTGTTGATGCCAGCTCATGTCCGGGATAGTTCCCATGTCTTCCTTTGCTGCTTGGGCGCCATGGAGGAGACGGGTGCACTCTGGTGCTCTCCTCCCTCCCTCTGCAACCTTTCCATTCCAGTGTCGCAGATCAGTCTGTCTTTCTGTGCGCTGTGTGGTCGGGCAGAATTCTCGGGTCCTAAGAACCACGCTCCTCTGTCGACGTAGGGCGAAGAGCTCAGACGCTGACTCGACAGGAATCGCAGGTGCCTGAAGGAAAGAAGGATGCGTTTAGCTTTGACCAGGTTACCTGTGTAAGAACATCTAAACGTGCAAACTGTGGAGTTTCACTTAATGCAGGTTAGAAACTAACCTGCATAACTAACGAGAGGGCGGCCAGCAGTGCCGCCAGGTAAAAAGAGCTGCATTAGGGGTACAGCTCAGCTAACAGGCAGCCATGCCGGTTTTTTCCTCTTTACTCATGTGGTGTCTAAATCGGGTTTTTCCTTTTTCGATTTCAGCTATGCCAGGAGAGACAGCCCCACCTACGACCCCTACAAACGGTGAGCCAGGCCCGGGTTCTGGGTGAGGGTGGGGGGGGTTGTGCACTGGCGAACAGGGGGTGAAGGAGCATGAACTGCTGTAGACGAGTAGAGAACACAGAGGCGCTTGTGTGGTGGGTGTTCTCTGCCCGCGCGGTGGGAGGTGTGGAGGCTCTGACCCTCTGACCTCTGACCCCTGACCCCGCTGTCCGCCCGCAGGTCCCAGATGGAGTCGAGCTCGGAGTCGCGGTCCCGCTCCCGCTCCCACAGCCCCGGGCAGGAGAAGATCACCTTCATCACCAGCTTCGGGGGCAGCGACGAGGAGGGCACAGGCCCCGCCAGCGCGCCCGGCCGCGCGCCTGCAGCCTCCAAGCACCACGCCGCCCCCCCCGCCCCTCCCGCTACATCAGGTCATAGCAGCTCTTCCCGGTCGGTAGCTTTCCCGTTTTTTTTCACTCCTTCCGTTTTCCCGTTTAGCTGAGCACGTAGGTCAGGGCTAGAGCCGTCGCTGGTGGACTGGCACCCCGGCACGCTCCCAGAGAGCAGGGGAGGCAAAGGGGGGGGCGAGGTCATCGGGGTCACTGGGGCACCTGGACTCCTGCTTCTGACGCTGACGGCCCTGAGTGCCTGCCTGCTTCCTCGCAGCGGCAGCTGGCAGCCGGCTCGCCTCGGGCTCCAGCCGCCTTCAAGCGTTTCCGCGCCGGCGCTCCGTGGGGGCGTGGGGGCTGACGGGCGTCGTGGACCCAGCAGCACTTCCTGTGGCCGCCTGGCTCCTTCCCACTGCAGTCCGCTTCAGCCTGGCCCAGTCCAGGCTCGGACTTCCTCCAGGCCCACGTCCGCTCGCAGCCTCGCTTCCCACTGCGAGCGGGTCGGGCAAAGATAGGATTAGGGCGCTTTTACAGACAAAACTATGAAAGTGTGCTTTTACTGTACACTGGAATCAGGAATCGGGTTTTAACCTTCCGAAGAAGTCAGAGCTCAGAAAGGCCACAAGTGAGAGGAGACCGTTTGGTCCTGTTTCTCTCACGTCCCATTGCCAGCAGTGGTTCTACTGGGACTAAACCCCCAGGAATTAACCCTCCCTCTGCAAAGGGGAAGCTGAATGCAGACATGACCCGGATGGAAGGTGGTGGCAAATGCCAAACGGACAGGTACTCTGTCAAGCTGGAATCAAGCCCAGCCCCCCGGCCCTGTGAGGAAGTAGTACTAACCACCACACTGCCCCAGCGCTGAAACGTTTGAACACGGCTGGCCCATTGCTCTACTCAGGGCTGTGCTCTGAGATGGTGGGAGGCAGCAGTCTAGGAAGCGTCCAGTTTCTGGATCGGGTGTTCCTTGCTCTTGCCTGAAAATCAGCCCCTGCTTTTAGACATGACTCTTTGAGTCACTGGGAGTTTTCTGAACTCGGGGCTCTGCAGGCTTGGCAGACGTTTAAAATCGTGAAGCGGGCCCGGTGATTTCCTTCCTGTTGTTATTTCGCAACGGCTTTCCACGTGTGATCCAGACAGCCTGAGTGTGCGAACGGGCTGTGTCACGTGTGTGCGGTTGAGTGAGTCGAGTTCCTGTGTGTGTGTGTGCAGTGCAGTGCAGTGCAACAGAAGGAGGAGTGAGCGCGCGTGTGCTGTAGGAGATTTTCAAAGCAGGACACTGTCAGTCAGAGGGAACTGTCGCAGGTCTTTTCCGGTCTGTGCAGTGCAGACTGTTGAAATGCTGAGAAGCTCCGAGCACCTGCAGGCACGAGTGCGCAGCTGTGCTAAGGGTTTTCACTTAGACTTGTGAAAGGGGTTGGAATTTGAAATAGTGAAGCAGGCGATAGGATAAAAGCTCACTTCCTTAGTAAGTGTTAATGTATGCAATGGGATCTCTATTTCTGATTTTTTTTTTTAAAACGTGAAAAGTTAAACAGATGTATGTCACGCTACAGTGTCTCTTTTGTGCAACGGCTGCACTGGTGGCCTCATGGGAGGCTGCTGGGTGTGATTTTGGTCACCAGTGTGTCCAGCTGTTTGCAAAGAGGCGGTGGGGAAGGTTGGGGTTAGAGTGATTTAATTAGCTGGGGTTCTCTCCTTGGCGATGTGGGGGGAGGCCTCGTGCTGGACGGAGAGGCTGAAACCTTGGCCACCGCTCTGTGCTGGCATGCGCGACCCCAGCCTCTTGCAGGGGTGACCATGGTGACCTGTTGGCCACAGTTCTGACAGGGCGATTGTACTCTGCCCTGTCTCTGTGTTCCTGGGGGCATGGGTGAGAGCAGCCATGGCTCACAGGCGTGCTGTGTGTGTTTTTCCTGCAGACGGCGCTCGTCCTCCACCAGCTCTTCCTCCTCCTCCTCCTCCTCCTCCTCGTCTTCCTCCTCCTCCTCCTCCTCGCGGTCGTCCCGCTCCTCGTCTCGCTCCAGCTCCAGGTCGCGGAGGGGTCGCCGGCGGGCCGGGCGGTACTCGCGGTCGCGGTCCCGGTCCCGGTCCAGGTCCAGGTCCCGGTCACGCTCCCGGGGAGGAGCAGGAGGGTACCGGCGCCACCCCCGGACTCACTCGCGCTCCGCAGACAGGGGGCGCCGCTACACTGCCCGCCGGCGCACCAGGTGGGTGTGGTCAGATGAGCGGCCTGTTCCTCATTGGCTGAGCTGTTACTGAGAGAGCTGCCTTTGGCTTTTATTTCTAGCAAAGTGGGGAAACACATAATTGTGTTTGGCTTAATTATGTCTTAATCTTGGTCGGGGTCCTGATTCTCGTTAAGACTGCTATGGGGCCCTCTTGATGAGTTCAACAGGGTCTTTCAATGATTGAGTGTAGGATTTGGTTTGACAGGCATGCAGAAATGTGTTTCTTTCTCAGATGAGATGTTCGTTTTCACAGGCAAAGCTTTTGGGTATTTTATTTTTCCAGTCCCATTTGATGCAAGCAGAACCTACCCCTGTTATCCTCCATTTTATCTGGAAATGTAACCTGTCCTCTTTTGTGATTTTCCTAATTCGCCTGTACGCTCGGTCTCTCTCTGTCTCTCTCTCTATCTCTGACAGGAAGTGCAGTACTTCCTTTGTGAGCACGTGTTTGCAGTAACGTTTTGATTCTGTTGAAAGAGAAGCAGTGCCGGCTCAATTCTTTTGAGTGTCTTACAGATAAGATAAGCTCACTGCACTATAGCTTTCAGAATAGGATGGTTCTGCGAAAATAGCAGCCTGGTACTCTGCTCTGGGATACAGCTGTAACTGCTCGTTCCCGTGAAGGTACAATATTCCCCCGATTTTGTTTTGTTTCTTCAAGATGAAGCCTTTATTGAGATCGAAGCTTTATTTAGCAGGGGGCGCTTGAGTTGCCAGCTTGGTTCACGGTCAGAGGAACTCCTGACTGCTTTTACTTCTCCTGTCTACTTGGAGCCAGGCTCCGCCTGTCCCTGGAACTAAGAAGCTGTGTTTTTTTTCCCCCGTCCCGAGAGTTAGGATGCCAGTGACGTGTGTTGAACCCGCCTGGTTGCAGTGCAGCACTGAAGGACCGACCCCTCCCTGCCCTTTTAGAATCGCCATGGCAGTCGGCTGGTGACGTGACCTGGGCTTGAACCCATGATCACCGAGCTCAGCTCCTCTGCAGCGTCCTACCCCAAATCGGGGTATTTTTTGTGCAACGTCGAAGTCTAAGCAACAGATCCAATTTACAGAGTAGCTGCTGCTGTCTTACAAATCTCAGTTCACTGAGCACTTGGAAATGCTTTTCACTCGGAACTGAGGGAACTGCTTTATTTACCCTGGACCCTTCCGATCTCTCTCCCGCAGGTCGCGCTCGCGCTCCAGGTCCCGGTCCCGCTCGGCCAATCGGTACAGGAGGGGCAGCCGCGGAGGGGGTGCCCGGCGGGCGAGCAGCAGCGCCAGCCCCGCCGAGTCCCCCTCGCCCAGCCGCTCGCCCTCCCCGCGCCACGCCCCCCCCACCGCAGCCGGCCTCGGGGACAAGCTGAGAAAGTGAGCGCACCGTCCCTCGGCTTCGGCCTCTCCACCTGAGGACTGAGAGTCGGGCAGTCGTCTGTGTGTGTGTGGGGGGGGTTTCAACGATGTGTTGGTGTATTAAACAAGTGAGGAGGAAGTAGTTCCAGTCTGGTAATAAGCAGGAATACACTCGGCGGCCAAAATATTAGGAACCCACAGGGTGGACTGTGCGGGGCCTCCGTGAGCACAAGGGACAGCCTGAACTGGAGGAGGGCAAGGGGGCGTGTGTTTCACCGGGGGCTGGCCTGAGCCCCACCCTTTTCTTCTAGCAGGAAGCATCTACAGCACAGCAGTGCGGTGTTGAGCTGGTGCGATGTTGAGCTGGTGTGCACTGCAGGTCCCACCAGTTCGGCAGGTTTTCAGCAGCATTGAGATAAGGGGTTGTTTTGGCCAAGGGAAACGATGGACATCTGTGCTCTGCCCCTCAGTTATGCCTTCATTAGCCATGGAGAGAGTCTGTTTGTTTGACTGGGGGGGTTCCTAATATTTTGGGCAGCAGAGTGAAGCTCATTTTCTTTCTGGGCTGGGTTTTAGTGTAGTCGTACCACTGCAGTTTCAGTGCAGAAACTGTGGAAGTGCACTTAAAACTTAAGAAAAAGAGGCACATCTGTACTGAAAGAGTTGTGGGGGTGTGGAACAAGCGCCCTAACCTTGCAGTTGAAGCTGATAATTTTGCTTGTTTAAAAAACAAAACACCTGAATGAGATCCCAGAATCAATCGGCTACCTATTTCTGAACGGGTTAGACCACATTTCCTCCACTTGTTTATAATTGTTCTTGTGCTCAAACCCATTGTGAGTAGAGAATATAGAAAGTTCATACAGTTCTTGGTCTTTCTCTCTAGGCCTGACAATCCTGGTGGTAAAGAGACTGGAGCTGCCAAAGTCAGTAAGAATTTGACCTTGTTTTTCTATGTCTCTGCACATCTGAAACACATGTTGTCTCACTACAGTGACAGCCTACGGATGATCTGTCATGCCCTTTGGATTTTTTTTCTGTTCCGTAATGTACTGTCCGGTCTGCAGATCTAGGAAAATCGGAGCCTGTGTCCCTGGTGAAAATAAGCACAGTCTTGTACATGGGCATTAATTAACATTAACTGGTTAATTGTTCTTTTTCCATTCCTGACTTGATGAGCTTCTAAGCTGACCAGCGTCCTAGAGTCGCAGAAGGGTTTTGGGATGTTTAGTAACACCTGTATGTAGACGGTCACAAATGTTTGAACATGTCTTCCTAGTTTTGTGCTTTTATATCCTTTTACAGCTTGGTTTTGTCCCACACACCTCTTTGGGCACTTGGGGTTAATCAGAATCTGTTTCGAGCTGTTAAATACAGTGACATTTCAGTGGAGAATGCCCTCAGACGGTTCACTTTCCAGCTTCTTCCCAGAGTGGCTGATGGCCCTGATTTGTATGGAAGCGTTTCTAAACGGAGTTGTGCAGCAAAACGTGTGTTTCAAAAGAGGATTTCAAAAGAGGAACATAGCACAGACGTGGCACTCTGTCGTGTCCTCGAGTTCACGTGCCACTGCCCTGCAGTGACCCAGAGGGCGATGCAGAAACGCTGCAGTTTCGTGAGCGAGACTGAGGATGGGCCACTGCCCGCCCATTTCCGCCCCCAACCAGGACCCGTCTTTGAATCATCTCTTGCCCAAACCCGAGAGACCTTTCTCTCCTCCTCCGCCCTGCACTTCTGCGCACCTCGGGGCGAAAGCGTGGCGGCGCTGGCTCCGGCTGCTCACTTCCGCGTCGTGTTCGCTGCGACGCATTCGGACGTGGCGAGAGGAAACGCCGAAGGGAGGGGGGGAGCTGAACCAAACACAAAAGAAGTGATCTGGTTCCGCAAACCAGAAACGAAAAACCGCGGACCAGAGCCAAGCTGCGGGGATCGCCGACGGGCTCGATCCTCGACTCCGCGCCCTGTCCCTCCCCGCTGCTCCACGGTGTGGGGTTTCCCTGCTGGAGTCCGTGCGCGGCGCTGGTCGCCCGTCCCGCCTGGGCAGGCTTGCAAAGAGGGCCGTGGGCCCACCTGGCCGCGTGAGGACGCACCCCCTGCTCCCGGGGAGTCGAGGAGTCGGGGGCACAGGCGTGGGCAGAACGGCCACTGGGACAGGGAGCTGCAGAAAGCCGTGGGAGCTGATGAGCTGGGGTGCTGAGGTCATCCTTTCGGGGAACCTACCCGTGTCTCCTTTCACACGTCTCGCCTTCCGCCGCTGTGCTCCTGGGTACAGATCCACGCCGGCCCTGCTCGGCCCGCAGCTGCTGTCCCTTCGCCCCGTTCGCACTCACCAGTATGGTTTTCTTTTGCAGCCCAAACTGACCCCCCAAGAGAGGCTGAAGCTCCGCATGCAGAAGGCGCTTAACAAGCAGTGTAAGAGCAGGGCTGTGGGGGGGGGGCAGTCCGACCACACCTGAGTGAGGTGACTCGCACTCACGCGCTACAGGCAAAATCAAACCGGCTCACCTGGTCAGAGAGAGAGAGAGAGGGTGGGGTTAGTTCTCACTCTGAGTTGCTGTTTTTCTCCATCTGTCCTGATTGTGTGCCAGCCCAATCTTATACAAGCACTAGTTCAGGTGGGGAGCTGCGTCAGCAGGCGTAGGCTGTAAAGGAACAAGTAAAGGTTTATTCCCTGCTGAAAAGAGAAGAGAGGAAACGCAACGTTTCGGTTGTGCTTACACCCGAAGAAGGCTCCACAGCCGGAACGTTGTGTTTCCTTTCTTCTCTTTTCAGCAGGGAATAAACCTTTAACTTGTCCCTTAGACAAGCACTAGATCACCTCAATAACACCACATGTTCTGCACGGAAAAGAAAAAAGGCGACCACCCCCTCCTGACAGCATCAGACAACAGAAGGAAGGGACTGGAGCCTCTTGATGATGTGGGTGTTTGGTGACCTCTGACCCCTGTGTCTCCCCGTTTAGTTAAGGCTGATAAGAGGGCGGCTCAGGTGAAGATCCAGCAGCAGGAGCACGAGAGACAGGTGAGCCCTCCTGCGTGGCCCAATGTCCCCCAGGTGCTCTGTGACCTCACCTGGTCCAGTTTCACAAACTCTTCTCCTCTTCCCACAGGAGCGCGAGGACGAGCTGAGGGCCATGGCTCGCAAGATCCGGATGAAGTAAGCCCCCCGCGGCAGGCAGCGCCCCCTGCAGGCAGCTGAGCTTTCCCTTTCAGTTTTCCTCAGGAAAGACTAAGCACCTGACTTACTTTTTCATTTATAGAAATTTTGTTGTCCTTCCTCATCCGAAATAAAAGTGTAGAAAGTCTTAAGTCCCAAAAGCAGGTTTGCATCTTCTGTTGACTTCAGTTGGATTTGTCTGTGCCGCATGGGGTCCCTCGGATTTTTATTCCATCCCCGATCTTAATGATTTAATTGGACTAAATTGCATGAGAGCTGGGACCGCCTGGCCTTAACGAGCTGCCGATTGAACAGCACCTGTGACGCTCCAGCATGAAGGCGGTGGACAGCTGCTGGAGCTCCAGCTCTGTCCTGGCGACTGTGCGGCCAGCAGGTGGCGCTCTGCGTGGGCTGATGGCGGGAGGAGGGTAAAGGGAGGAGCTTGTGCGGCGGTCAGGCTGTTGTCCGTCACTGACGCGGCGCTTGTGTTGCCTGGCAGGGAGCGGGAGCGCCGAGAGAAGGAGCGCGAGGAGTGGGAGAGGCAGTATGGGAGACAGAGCCGGTCCCCCTCGCCCAAACACAGTGAGTACCCACAATGCCCCTCCCACCCAGAGTCTTGACCGCTGTTCCGCACTGCCGCCCTTGCGATCCCTCTCCGCTGGGATGAGGGTCGGGGTGGAGCTCAGTTAGTTCTGGTCAGTCAGACCTGTTCTGTGGGTTGAAGGTCATCTGATTCTCTGGCACATTTTCTCCCTGGCCTGAGCTGAGAACTTGCCTCGGGAGCAGATTTCAGGTCAAGGGTCACTGACAGAGCCGTGAGGCCTGTTGCCCACAAGGGCCCGATCTCTTTTCACGGCCCAATCAGGGCAGCACTCGTCTGACGTTTGGACATTATTATTCAGTATTTTTCTGTCTTTTCCAGGTCGCGAGCACAGCTCATCCAGAAGGTATGTGGTGCATTTCAGTCTTCATGATCTAGATATTTTTAAATGGCCTCAGTAAACGTCCCCCCCGCCCCCAAGAAAAAAAGAGATGGGGAGCGTCTGCAGTCTCAGATGGATAATTAAAGATGTGGCACAGCTGGTGTCAGCAGGAGCTTTGCAGGGAGTCAAGACACTGAGACAGAACTTCCTTTAGACATTTTTCCATTTTTGAGGTCTAAACGAAGACAGAGTGGAATTGCATTTTGAGATGTTCTATTCCAGTAAGAGTAAGGAAGGAAAGCAACTTATTGGTGTCATTTGAAACCTTAAACAAGGAGTTTGTTGTATGAGTTTGGCTGTTTTACCGTGTCCAACACGTTCATGTGTATAGCGGAGCTGCAGGCTCCACTTCTGTTCATCTGGTCCGGAGTTTGTGTTGCGCAAAGGAGCATAAAAATGAGCAAAGATTCTTGAAATAATCGTGAAGTGAAACATGATTAAATACTCAGAGGTGATATTAGGTGGGAAAGCGAAATCTCACCTGAGCACTCGCAGCCCAAGCGAGTTATTGGCTGTCCAGCTGGATACTAATTCAGCCCTTGTCTTGCCTCTGCTTTGCTCTCAGGAGGTCCCGCTCCCGATCGAGGAGTCCCCACTATCGGTACTGAGCGCCCAAGCTCCTCCAGGTCCTCCGCAGCCGCCGGAGAGCTCGGGGTCTACAGTGGCATCCCCATTCCAGTTTCGTTACCTTGTGACATTTCCACCTTGTGTACAGAGGGTCCCGACTCGGAACACGTCTGCTGTCTCCTGCATTTTAGGGTTAACGGCACCGGCCTGCAGGTTCACTGAGTTGGTTTTTGTTTTTTCTCCCTGGCAAGTGAGATTGGACTGGTTGTTAAATCTGCACTGGATACAGAGCGCTGGGGGATACAGAATTCTAGGGGATACTAGAGGAGAGACGAGCATCAACAGTTCTCTTGATCTCTTTCCTTTAGCCAAGGGCTTTCAGCCTGGGGCCCAGACCGGCAGCTCCTGGCACCCCTCAGACAGGGAGCAGGAGCTGACGTTAAGGTTGGGAGAGGAGCCTTCAGATCCCACTTTTCCCGTTTCCAGATGCCATGACTCTGGGCAGCCTTGATCCGTTCGAGCTCAGTTCAAGACTTTTATTTCTCAAGTGGACATATGCAGCGAGCTCCAGCAAAATCAGTAATTATTAGGTAATGGGCCTGATGTTTACAGCTGCAGATAAAGGAGCTCTTAAGCACATTATCTCAGTTTTCTGTAAGACTGTTTTAAGAGTTCAGTGCCAGCCTAGCAGATAGATTTTATTTCAGGCATGCTGCACACAATTTAAAGGAAAGTCCTGCAGGTAAGTTTGCCCAGGGTCCTGTCATACTGGGTCATTTCTGTCACTGGAACTTAATAAATATGACCTCCCACAAAACTGAATGTAAAAACCAGAGAGAGATCTGCCCTTCAAAATGTAAAAGAAATCATTATTTTGAGGCATTTTCTCCTACCTGCTTTGAAACTATTTTTTCTGTGTCATTTCTCGGGCCGGTGTACATATTTTTGATGCTGTTTGTGAACAATTAAATGAAATTCCAAACAGACTTTGGAGAATCTGCTCTTTTGTTGAGTGAATGCATTAAAGATGAGCACTGGGAGAATTCCTCGTCGATGGTGTTAATTTCTGCTATCTGGCCAATCTTGTTTGCATGTTCCTGTGTGATTGGAGGTGCCCTGCCCAGCCTCGGTGCTTCCTGGCACTTCACGCTTGGCTGTTAACGACTTCATTAGCTCACTCGGGTATGGTTGGGGGAGGGGGGGTGGTGCTGTGTTGGGATTCCAGGGGACTGTCTTCATCTGTGGACGACGGATGAGGCTCCAGGCTCTGTGCTCCAGTGGCAGCCCAGGTGGCCAGCTCGCCCTCTGGTCTGGTAATCCCCAGACACTGTTTACAGCAAGGCAGGAGACCACAAACTGAACTGAAAGCAGCCCACATGTGCAGCGTGTTAAACCTGTTCCACATGGGATTTCACTGGCCACTTCCTGATTAGAATGGCTACCCTGCTCCAGAGAGGGGTGAAACCGTTGGCTTCTGCTTCTCAGATTGAACTTCACTTCAATTTTACTGGTTTATCGACTTGCTGCCCAATCGCACAGCCCTGCTTCAGTGCGTGTAGTAACCTGCGCAGACCAGCCCTGCACCAAATCATGACGGCTGGAAAAGGACATCGGAGCCTTTTCTGAGGCCGTGAAGCCCAGTGATTCAGCCTGCTGAGCCTCTCCTGGGAGCGGAGACGAGCCTGCTGTAAGAAGAGCTGACCCTCGCTCCCCGGATAGGAGAATTGTGTGATCTTCTCGGGAGACTGTGCCCTTTGCTTGTGCGTCTGCGTGTGTCTGGCCCTACGCGGTGCTCAGGGGTGTGCTGACGGGTGCCGTCCTGCGTCTCCTTGTGCGACTGGAGACAGTACAAGGTGGCGGCTCAGTGTCGGTCCTCTACATAGGGCACGAAGCTGCACGCATCCGTAAATTTCCATTCTCCACTTCGGAAAGGAGCCGGGCAAGCCTGAAAGGTCCGGACCGGGCCTGGAGTCCTTTCTGCGCCGGAAAGACGCGGGCCCTCTCCTTGGCCAGTTCGGGTGTTCTGGAGCTGTGCTGGTTGGACTGGGCCCGTCCAGCAGGAGTGCATTGAAATGCATTTATACAGCCAAAGCCTTTTTTTTTTTCCTTAAAAGTTCGGGGCCCCAGCCAGAGCTCTCTCTGCTGAGCGCTCGCCAGGGGGCGCTCTGACCTCACTCCAGTGATCAGCCCCTCGGAAGTTCACGGGTTATAAAGTTATAAAATCTTACCTATCTCACCCCTCAAGATGAGTGAATGGACCGTTGTGTGTTTTTTTACACACACACACAGAAATTGATCATTAATTGTGAAGACCGGTGTACAGCATTTCTACTTCCAAAATGGAATTTATGGTTTATGCATTTAGATACTGACAGCATTAAATAAATTGGTCCGGTAATGGCAAAAGAACTATGGGCAGGCCTACACCCAGGAGGACACGCTGGAGGTGAGAGGAGACTGAACGGACCCCCTCGCTGCTTTCCTGCTTGTCTCTGAACCGGACAGGCAGAGCCGGAGAAGAACTCCCTTCCCCCTCCGCTTGGTCCCCGTCGGCTCTCGGACCCCGGCCGAGTGAATTACCAGCGGAACAACCGGGGTTAATGCAGAAAGGAAAGCGGGTCCCCCTTACGGCGGGTCGCTGCGGTAACCGGAACTGTGGCCGCAGGAGCAAACTGCTGAAACTGCGCTTCGCCGAGATCGGAACCGGATAACACAGAGCCGTTCGGACTCAGGAAGCCGCCAAGAAGAATTGCGACACTTCTGACCTATTTCTGCGGGTAGAAATAAATATTAAGGAGGCGGAAATCTTACGCGCCGGTCTAGGGAGTGGCGGGCCGAGTGACAGACGCGGGGCCCAGTCGGAGGCGGGGTCGCCGGGGAAGTGTCCTGCCCAGACGGGCGGCGCTAAGGCGAAGCAGCCCGGGCCGTGCGCGGAGCCGGAGAAGCTGTCTGAACTTGAGAGAGGGAGGGCGGGTTTGGCTGCCCGAGAGCAGGAAGGCGAGTGATTCGGGCGGACCGCCGAACCCAGAACCGGGACCCGGGGCGACGGAGGCAGCGTGCCGGCGCTGCGTGTTGCGGAGGTGTCCGGGGAAGGAGGGATCGCCATTCGCTCCTGGGACGCGCCGGCTGAAGGACGATGTCCAGGCGCAAACTAGGGAGCAGACCTCAGCACCTGAGCACGTTTCAAGGTAAAAAAAAAAAACCCACACACACCCGCACTTGATATCCGGGCCACGGGCGGACCCAGCCCGGCTGCGATCTGCGCCGTGACAGCAGGGGAGCCGCGGTCCTGCGCCGCCTGAACCCACCGGGGCTGCAGTTACTGTAGTTTTGCCCTGAACGCTGCCCGGCGTCCTGGAGTTGAGAGCAATCTCATCGCTCCTCGGCACTTCCTTGTTTCTGATCAACTTGGGCTGCTTTTGTGTGTGTGTGTGTATGTGTTGTTGTTGATGCTGTTGTTGTTATTGTTGTACGTGGCGGCTGTGACAGTTTTCCACCGCTTTCTGGAAATGCGGCGGAGACCGCGTGTTACGCGGGGCACCGTCCGTCGCGACCGAGAAAGTTGTGCTCTTGCGGTGCTTTAATCCTGCGTGATTCCGGGGGGGGTGATGCCGCGCGTGTGCTCTGCTGCGCGGGGAGGTGCGCGGGTCCCGGCTCCGCAGGTTCAGCGATCGCGCCTCACCTGGGAGCACATCGTGCGCCGAGCTGGCCCGGTCCGGCGGTCCCGGCTCGGCTCTCCCTGTCGGAGCGCCCCTGAGCGCCTCGCCGCCGGGCTGCGCAGGTGCTCCGGGGGCGCCCCTCGACACGTGTCTCCCCCCGCGCGGCTCCGCACGGCCCGGTGACTCTCCCCTCTGCGGGCCGTTGTGTCCGGCGACATGGCCGCGATCAGGTGCCCCTGTCCCGTGCGACGCGCCGAGCTGCGTGGAAGTTCGGAGCCGCGCCGGGTCACGGCGAGCTGCTCCCAGCACCCAGCGTGGGGCTGACTGCTAGCTGTCACGTTTTCTTTTTCAAAAAACAACAACACACGAATCAGCCTGTCTGGCTAATTAGGGCGCGTGCTGGTCGACTTAGACATCGCAGGTTCTAGTTTGTTTAATTTCACCGTCACCCCACCCTCCCCCCTCCAATAAAGGACTTTTTACAGCTTCGGTGTAGAAATGATGTACTGTAAACGCCCGTGTGTCTCGTCGCGGCGGTGGCCGGGGCTCCGTGGAGCGTTTTCAAGCGCTCTCATCCCGGCGGGCCGCGGAGGAGACACGGGGTGGGAGCCGGGCAGGGCAGCCCAGCGCAGACACCCCGGCCCTGGTTGTGGCAAGCCAGCTCCGTCGAAGCCTGTGAGGTCCGGGCCGGTCTGTGCTCGTTCTTCGGGTTCGGCTGCCTAGAGGGGCGACTGGTGTGTCACCCCCGGAGCTGCAGGTCTCCCTGAAACCCGCAGTGTGCACGCCAGGGGGGGTGGGGGTGATGTGGTCTCAGCTTCGGGGTGCTGCTGTTCTCACACTGGTCAGCTGCTCTCTGAGCGATGGATGGAACAAATCGTCAGTGCCAGTGGCCAGTGGTTAGAAGGGAACTGTTCTCCTGTGTCCAGGAGTGGACAATTTGAAGGTGGTCTGTCAAAGTCCAGGAGGACTGGGGCTCTCCACAACCACCTCTGAGTAGCTCGCGCAGTGGGATCCTAGTGTCTCATCCTTGGAGTGATTCCAGTTCTTTATTGCAATCCGGCTGGACATTTGGAGCTAAACCCAACTAAGCGCTCCTTCCTGGACGGACACTTTGGGTTTTCCGTGGGGCTCGGTGCTCCTGGGCTGGAATGCCCCCCGAGACGGGCTCTGAGTCGGGCCCGGCCCGGGGGGCGCGGATGAGCCCGTGTGGTTTGAGAACGAGTCGGCGGCACCAGAGCCAGTCACGCCGGCCGGGGTGTCCAGGTGCACCCCCCTCCAGCCCCGGGGAGGGGGACGTGGCGCAGAGCCGACTGTGGCTCGCCTGTGACTCAGCCGGCGCCCGACTCATGCTTCTCTGCGGAACAAATGTCAAGACGCGCCTGCTCTGTCGCGAAAAAAAGTCCCCGAGAGGAAAATCCTGAATTTGCCCAGGGGAGGAGGAGACCTCTCTGCGTCTGTCGGTCTCTCGTCGGAGGCTCTGTCGTCGGCGGGGCAGACTCGGGGTCACCAGGGGACAGAGAGAGCAAGCGTCTTTACACCGAGACATGTGGGGGGCTGGAACAGCCTGCACAGCTCTCTGGGATCCTGTAAGGAAGAGCTGGATTACTGGTAAAGAAGACATGCAGGCCAGGCTGCCCCCTCCCTGACACAACGCTCCACTCAGAAACGCACAAGAATGTAATGAGGAGAAGGTGTACAATGTAGACAAGTATGTTAAAGCATGCCGGCCGCAGAAATTCCCTCTAGAAAAACAAGATGGGAAACGCTGCGCTGTAAGAGACTGCTTCTGAAACACTTGGGTGTTTATGGTGCTGCAGCATCTCTCAGATTGTGTGAGGAAACATTCAAAAAGTGGAACCGGATGTCGAGATTTGTAGATTTTATCACTGTTGAATTTGTGTCAAGAGGTATGTTAGAATTCTGCAAATAATAATAATAATTTATTATAGTAATGGTAATTTGTATAACAGTTTTAAAAGTAGCATCTCAAAGCGTGTGTTTTACGCTAGGTGCTTGTAAGGATAGCAAATTACAAAGGGCCTTAGAAGGCTAACTTAGGAAGATAATCGATTAGAAGTGCAGCAGAAGTTAGGAAACGGAGTAGACACAGACACTGATTTGGCAAAAGCCCTTCTGAAAAGAAAGGTTTGGAGTCTAGATTTTAAATGAAGTGTAGTAGTGAGAC